ACTTGTCACAACGTGCTTGAAGAGTGGGAAATAAATTACATCGCCTCAGCTAATGGACAGATGTTGAAAAAAATAGAAGAGCTCAATTTACCTCTCTCCTTGTCGTGAACATGCAGTTTCAAGAGCTCTGGTTGTCAAAAAGAAAGGAGGCGAACATGCCCCCATCTACATCAATGGAACTGAGGTTGAGAGGGTGAAGAGCATCAAGTGAATATAACCGACAACCTGTCCCAGACTTCCCACGAAAATGAGACTGTCAAGAAAGCACAACAACGTCTCTTCTTCCTGAGGCAACTCAGGAAATTTGGTACGTCCATAAGGACCCTCACCAACTCCTACAGACAAACCATTGAAAACATACTGTCCGGGTGCATAACGGCCTGGTATGGCAACTGCTCTGCTCAGGACTGTAAGAAACTACAGATGGTGGTGTGCACAGCCCAGACCATCACGGAAACCAATCTTCCATCCATGGACTCCATTTACATGACTTGCTGCCTCGGAAAGGCGGCCAACATCATCAAAGACCCATAGCACCCTGGTAATGATCTCCTCCAGCCTCTTCCATCAGGCAGAAGATACAGAAACCTGAACACATGCACGAGCAGATTCAGGAACAGCTTCTTTCCAGCCATTATCAGACTGTTGAACAGACTCTAGCTTCAAATAACGTAACCTGTATGCCTCTAAATCTTTTTTATCTGAACATCCTTTGCTTGCTGTGATCTGCCTGTACCATTTGTAAACAAATCTTTTCACTGCATTTCAGTACACATGACAATAAATCAATCAAATCCAATCAGATAAAATCCAGTTTATGACCCTTCCATGGTGCTACCATGATCAAATTCCACTCTTGGGGAATGGAATTCCTCACCATAGTTGTTAATTCTGATAAATTCCCAGAGTCTGCACTTTACTCCAGCATGTTCTGTTTTGCTGTTTTTTTTCTAATATTAAAGGGCAATTCTGTATCAAATATTCATTTTAGAATTACATGGGTTGAAATTTACATTCCTGACTTAGTTTCAGCTGTAAAAGTACATTTCACTGAAACAAAGGGCCATTGACCTGTATTAAAATGGCTGCCATTTTGAAAGCAAGTCATATTCCATTTCACAGTGATGAGGCATCTTTGAAAACCACTGGAAATAATAAACCCCTGGAAAGCTTTAGACAGCTTTCATAATCGCTTATTGGAAATGGAGGTTTGAAGTGTACCACAGCACGTTAAAATCTAATCACCGAGGCCAATGTAACCATCGCTACAATTGCTGCAGATTTAGCCAAACTGAGTAACCTTTCTGAAATATGCAATATATTTTTGAACTTCTAATTGTTGTTAGTGAGAAATTGTGTGACCAACCAAACTTCTTCTGTGTACTAAACTTGGGCTAGCATTAGGTACAAACAGGAATAAGCAGAATATAAACAAAGTTGCTGGAAAAGCTCAGCAGGTCTGGCAGCATCTGTGAAGGAAAAAACAGAGTTAACGTTTCAGGTCCAGTGACCCTTCCTCAGACCCTTCCTTCGGTTTTTATTTAGGAGTAAACAGAAGTTGCCCTCCCCCTTCCTTCAGTTTGACAGTCAAGCTTTGAACTCTGAAAATCAAGCAGAAAATGCTGGAGAAACTCATCAGACCCGACAGCAAGTGAGGAAAGAGAAGCAGAAGTAATGTTTTGATTCCAGTATGACTATAAACTCAAGGCATTAACTCCGTTTCTCTCTCCACAGATGCTACCAGACCTGTGAGTTTCTCCCGCACCTTTTCTTTGATTTCCAGTTTCCAGCAGCCACAGTATTTTGCCTTTATTTGAAGCTTTGAGCCCTGTGAGAGTTGTGAAATATGTTTACCTCTCTGCAAATAGAGAGTTTTACAGGAAGAGCATTTAAATTTCTCAGTGGTACCACCAATAAAAAAAAGTGACTATACAGCCGCATCACAAAATGTTAGAACTGTTGAGAACCAAAACCTGGCAAAATGCAAGAGCAGGGCAGCTTTCCAGCCATAAAGTTTGATCTGACTTTTATTTTTCATGATTTAGCATTTAGCCACATTTTACTTATGTCTACTGTTATGCTGGAGTTGTGTGCCCGGGTTTAAATTGCGTGTTGTGCATTTTTGGAACCAGGTTGGCTACCTCTGCAGCAATTCTAGTTTTGGTTTCATTGGCCTAGGTGATTAGATTTTAATGTGCTGTTGTATACTTCAAGCCCCCATTTCCAATACTAAGCTTCTAAGGTTTTCGTTTATCAAAGTCGGTTTCAAAACAACAACCTTGATCTCCTACTTTTGTTAAAAAGAATAGCACCACTTATTTGGCTTTTTTTAATGGCCAACATGCAAATAGTTAGGGGTATTTACTGTTGACATGTCCATTTTTAAATGTTAAAACTAAGTGAGGGGTTTGAAATACAGGAAGTCACTCCATCACATCTTGCCAGGTGATTACATTAACTTCTTCATTCTTAATCCACTGAGTCATGTGGATGCCATAAGGTTCTGTAGAAACACTTCATGATTTTTTATTAATATTTACCCCACATTATATCTTGGATCTTTTACCAATAACACTATTAAAAGCAGTTGCATTTATATACTGCCTTTAGTGAAAGAAACTTTCCTAACACATTTCATGGACATATTGTCAAACATAAATTGGCACTGAGACAGTTTGAATATTACTTTGTATCTTCAATAGCTAATTTATTAACAAGAAAGCAGGACTTAAGTTGTTCTTGAACTCCACTATCATCCTCAACATGTCCACCCTTCTACTCAGAGAGAGATAGTAGGAACTGCCGATGCTGGAGAATCTGAGATAACCAGGTGTAGAGCTGGATGAACACAGCAGGCCAAGCAGCATCAGAGGAGCAGGAAATCTGCCGTTTCGGGTCTGGACCCTTCTTCAGAATTCTGAAAATTCTGAAGATTCTTCAGATTCTGAAGAAGGGTCCAGACC